ACGGGGACCAGTCCGGGAGTCTGGGGGGGACTCGGATAAGGGTCTTGCATCCAATGCAGAGATGGAGCCTCCGGAGTCTGGCAGCAGCAAGGCAGAGGACCGAGGGGAGCCTGTTCCAAGTGTGCGTGTGCACAGAGCTGCCAGAAGTCAAGAGCAGCTAAGACAAAAGGGGTGACTCGGGAGTAAGACTTGGAGGTGATTGCCCCTTCCCGAAGGTATAAAGGAGGTGCAAAGGTAGAGAAGTAAAATTGTTCGCTCTGTTCGGATTAAACCTTGAAGCTCTACGTGGACTTCGTGTTTTGGTTGGTTTTTTACAAGTTCATTTGGCACTTTAGTTGTTGGCAGCAATTCAAAGGAGAGAAAGGTGAGTGCTTATCTCGAGGGACTGTTTGGGACTCATTACCGGCTGGGAATGAAAATAATTCTCAGTGTTGAAATAAGAGTTGTTTTATTGGCTCTGGCTGGATGGTGGGGAATGGGAGGATTTATACTCCTTACAGACAGCTGGTCATTTGCATCCTTTTAGCATCTGAAAGGCTACTTTTTTGAAGGCAGCAAAGTCCACATTTTGGACAGAGAGGACTGCTGGTTTGAAAGAGGGGTCAAAGAGGCCGTCTATGTCCAATTTGAACACCCCTCCCTCGACAGAAGGGGAGGGATACAATATCACCTACCTCCAGTCTAACAGTCCTTCAACAGTTCCAAGAAGGCTCCACACCCATTTGCACTGCTAGGATGACTGAGGACACAAACCAACTTCCAAATGGCCTCAGTGACTCTCTAAAAAGGATGCAAACAACCAGCTGTCTGCAAGGAATATAAATCCTGCCATCCAGCCAGAGCTTAAAAAAGCTTTTTGGATGAGAAGCGAAACGTATTCAAAGAAAAACTAGAAAGTCCAGTTACCTCTTTTTAAAAAAGGCACCTTTGGGGTAATTCTTAAATGTTGGGATGGTTTCTAGCATGGGATAGAGGTAGATGTAATTCCATTTGGGGAGGAAATACCACCTTTTTCACATCAGCGTTGACAGGTTCGGTGTATTAGCCGTGGAATCTTCGGTGTGCAAAACATTTCATTTTTCATTACCAATGCCGCTGTTCACATTTTCCATTATTTAGAAGCTTGCTTGAAAAATTCATGCCGTGTTGGTACCCTGAGACATCCCTGCAAGTCGCTGTGTTGATTTATATGGTGCAGGAAACACAGTTTCGTGTCTTGGTCTCCTGCTGGCAACTGGCACTTCATTGCGGTCCCTAAAGAAAAATCGTTCCCATGAAATCCCTCACGTTCCTTCCAAGTTGAGTGATGCATACGCTTATCTTCAGTACCGACAATGAATTATTCAGTATTAAGGGTGTTGTTGTGAGCATGATGATGTTCCTCATCTTGTTTGTAAATATGGTTTCTCGCCCTGCTCCTGGAGCAGGTTTAATTATAGACTGCAAATGGGGCATGTGATGTTTTAAAAAGAAAAAGGTACAGATACAGATTAACAGAGTTGGAAGGGACCTTGTAGGTCGTCTAGTCCAACCCCTGCCCAAGCAGGAGACCCTACACCATTTCTGACAGATGAGAGTCCAATTTCTTCTTGAAAATCTCAAGTGATGAAGCTCCCACAACTTCCAAAGGCAACTTCTGTTCAATGGGTTGATAGTTCTCACTGTCAGGAAATTTATCCTTATTTCCAGGTTGAATCTCTCCTTGTTCAGTTTCCATCCGTTGCTTCTTGTCCTGCCTTCAGGTGCTTTGGAGAATAGGTTGACACCCTCTTCTTTGTGGCAGCCCCTCAAATACTGGGAGACTGCTATCATGTCTCCCCTGGTCCTTCTCTTCCCTAGACTAGCCATTCCCAGTTCTTGCAACTGTTCATCGAATGTTTATAGGTATAGGAGATCTGGGTTTTTTTTCCCCAAAAGAAGAGATCAGGATTGAATTGTGGGGTCCTTGGTGCTTTCTGAGCTTGGAGGTTTTCTTGCAGGCATTTCATTACCAAACTAGGTAACATCATCAGTGCTAGAAGGGAGTGAGAATGTACTTATCAGGTACTTAGGAGCCAAGGGTTTGGCAGAACAAGGAAACAACAGCCAACTGTCAGCCATTAATACACCAATCAACTGATAAGAAGGCAACACATAAATACCAAGCATAGAATAGCCCAAAACACACATTCTGGTGGAGAAAAGTTCTGTGAGGATGGATCCCACCACGAGTCCAAAAGCTGAAAAGACTCAACCTCTGGTCCCAGTGACCAACCCAGGATGGATCCTGAATAGATTTCTTCCCTTCAACTTTGCCCGGACATACATCCAAGATTGAGTAAGCCAAGAACTCAACTAGGGCACTTGGGGTGATACAGGCTCTGGATATGCTTGAAAAGCGGCCATTTTGGACGTGCAAAGTCTGTTTAATGGTTCATTGGCAATATCCCCTGCCTTTCAAGGCTGTCCAGTGAATGGATGGGCAACCTTTAACGGATGATTGGACCGTGCTAATTCCTCTCCTTACACTATGTTGTAACATGTCCTTTACATATCGATGGAGCAATATGAAAAAAAAAAATCACGCTGCCAAGAACTACATTTGCTCACGATAAAAATCAAGATTCCTTGCTTTTCTTCCTTTCTGGTGGATAAATAGCATATTGGCTCACACAGACTTATTTATTCCTTCCAATTAAAAATTAATTGTGACATCTCAACTCGTGTTCCATGGAAGTCATGATTGAAAAAATGGAGCAAGTTGTCTTTTTTTTTTAACCCTGCACTAGGTCCTCAAGATCATCTATATTAATTTAGTCAGCCCAGTCAGGAAGTGCACTTACAGAGTGCTTTTTCCTTAAATGTATGTCTGGTAAATGTGGGTTGTATCCAGGTTTAATCATAACAGCATGGATAATATTGAAATGCGTAGGTAAGTCTATAAGATTTATAGGTATATTGAAATTTGTGGGATTTACGTATCTGGTCCACAGCATATATAGAGCTTATTAGAATTAACAATCGAATGCTCTCACTTGTTTTATGTACTGTATATATGACACAGTTTGGTCTAGTGCCGTGCCACAGGTGGCATACAGAGCCATTTGTGCTGGCAGGTGACCTGTAGGCAAACTTACCTTAGTGCGCATACGTGTACCTTACAGCTGTTTGAGGCCTTTTTTTGCCTCCCAGAGGCTTGAGGAAGGCCTTTGCAGGCTGAAAAATAGGCCCGTTTCGTCACTTTCTGTATTTCCAGAAATACCGGAAGTGATTAAATGGGCACATTTTTTGGCCTGCAAAGCCTGTAGAGGCCTTCCTCAAGCCTCTAGGGGGCGGAGAAATTGCGCACACATGCGCAAGGGGTGTGGGGGGCACTCATTGCCTTCTGGGTGATGGCGCGCAAGTGCGCACACAGTTTTTGACACAGGAGCCCCAAAAGGTTAGCCACCACTGGTCTAGTGGTTAAGACACCAGACTAAAAAGTGGGAGACTGTGAGCTCTAGTTCTGCCTTAGGCATGAAAGCAGCTGGGTGACCTTGGGGCTAGTCACCAGGAGACCATAAATTCTAGTTCCATCTAAAGTATGAAAGCCGGCTGTGTGTTCTGGGGCCAGAAGACAGTGAATTCTAGTTCCACCTTAGGCGTGAAAACCAGCTGGGTGACCTGGGGCCAGTCACCAGGAGACGGGAAGTTCTAGTTCCACCTTACGCATGAAAGCTGGCTGGGAGTCCTGGAACCAGTCACTAGGAGACAATGAGTTCTAGTTCCACCTTAGGCAAGCAAACCGACTGGGTAACCTTTTACCAGTCATTTTCTCTGAGCCCAACCCACTCACAGTGGGTTATTGTGGGGAAAAGAGGAAGATTTAGTTTGTCTGAATTGGTGGTTCCTTGATTGGGGTATTGTTTACTTCTTGGTTGTTGGCCTAGCGTTAATCTTGGTGTTAATTTTCTGCTCATCTGGATATTGATTGCTGGTGAGACATTGTGGGTTTTTTGTTTTATATATATATATATGGTATTCAGCTTTGTTCAGGTATTTTCCCACGTCATTATAGTTGTGCTTTTAAAGTTGTAAGATGAGATTCTGTTTTGGCAGAATCTCATCTGCCTTCATCAAGCTTCTGTATTGTGTTCGTCTGTGAGTCAGACTTTCACAGCCTTTTACAGCTGTTTATTTCCTTTCACAGTCTGACTCACAGACGAACACAGTACAGAAGCCTGATGATGGCAGATGAGATTCTGCCGAAACGTTGCTACAACTTTAAAAGCACAACTATAATGACGTGGGAAAATACCCGAACAAAGCTGAATAACATACATGTAAGTACCCGCGATAACTTAAGAAAACACGCACGCATGTATGTATGTATGTATGGTATTCAACTTTGTTTGGGTATGGAGAAGACGCACAAAAAAATTGTAACCGACCGACACACTGTACGTATACAATTGGAAGATGGCTTTATGTTTTTGTTTTGTTTGTGTATGTTTGTCTAAAAATAAAAAATTCTTTAAAAAAAAACAACAGTTTTACCACTGGTCTGGTGGGCATAGCTTGGTGGGCACGCTTTGTGCGTGCGCGTGCCAAACGCACACTTTGCACAGGCGCAGAGGCGTTCCAACTCACCTCCTGCAAGCCTGCACTCTACCAGTCGCTTCCGCAGCTGCTGTATGGCAATTGCTGCGCCGCGCAAAACAACTGCGCTTCAAAAGCGGGGAAAAAGGTGAGTCTGGGAGCCCGGGTGGTCAGGTAGGCCCAAAAACAGAGCGGCAGAGAGAATTAGTTTGGTCTCCGCTGCTCATCGCCGCTACCGGCTCAGCAGAACCAGGGCGAACCGGTAGAATACCACCACTGGTCATAAGTGCAAAAAAATGGCCATAGGTCACCTTTTTCAGTGCCGGTGTAAGGTTGAAAATTTATTAAAGGAATGGTTGTAAGTTGAGGACTTACCTGTATCCATTTCTGTTCTTGTTTGCTTTATAATCCCGCGCTTTTCTTTTTTTGGATCCTCTGTGGAGATGTTAGATAAACTGAAGGATCGCTGGCTGCACACGAGCTTGTGGGAGAAGCTTGAGCTGATTAAAACCGTCATCGTGGAACCCAAAGGAGGCGACAAAGCTGATTTTGATGAGCTACTTCAAATATACTCCGATGCCATCAAGTCTCAGAACGGCAAAGGTAAGTAAAAATGCAGGAAGTGTAAGCCTTGGCCCGAACAAAGGTTGACTGGAACAAGATTCCACCAGAATACAGGTGATCCTCGACTTGCAATCAAAGTTAGAACCGAAATTTCTGTTACTACGCAAGTAGCGCCTGATTTTACAACCTTTTCTCCAGTGTTGTTGAGTGGATCGCCACCGTTGTTAAGTAAAACACATGGTAGGTAAGGTGAGGTAAGGTAAGGTAGGACAGGATAGGACAAGAGAAGATAAGATAATAAGATGATAAGATTAGATAACCTTTCTTGTCATTTTCTAGGGTGAGCACACTGCCCCACGTTAAAACTGGAATTCTGTTGCCTGCTCTCAAAAGAAAGTTTATATCTATATATATAGAAAAGCTGGCTGAGGAATTCTGGGAGTTGAAGTCCACAAGTCTTAAAGTTGCCAAGGTTGGACACCCCTGGTTTATATCAACCCATATACATATCCACATACTCTAGGACTAGCAGTAGCATTTAGATTTCTATACCGCTTCACAGTGGTCTCTAAGCAGTTTACAGAATCAGCCTATTGCCCCAACAATCTGGGTCCCCAGTTTACCGACCTCCGAAAGATGGAAGGCTACGTCAACCTTGAGCCGATGACACTCGAACTGCCGGTAGCCAGCAGTCAGCAGAAGTAGCTTGCATTCTAACCACTGCGTCATCACACACACACACACACATACACACATTTTCCTGAAAATACGACCTAAGTAAGTGCTAATTTGATTTTTACACATGCACCCAAAATAAACCCTACCTCCAAAATAAGCCCTAATTAAGATCCTGAGTACTCCAGAGTGCACGGGTAAAAATTAAGCTAGGGTAGGGATGGCAAGTGGGGTGGAGCTGCCCTATTACTTACCTGTTTGGACCTTTGAAGCCAAATTGAAGGAATTAAAGCGACTTCACCTGTTTTTTTTGTGACTTTGTTACTTTTGTATCCCACCCTTGGGTCATCACACAACACAGTCCTATGCCGCTGTTTTCACTGCCATTGCAACTTCAAATGGTCCTAAAAATGAATCGTTGTAAATCAAGGACTACCTGTATGGTAGACTAGAGTTCCTCAACGTTTCCGGCTTTACAGATTCTTTTCGGGTGGAGATGGTTCCACATGTGCGGCCGGCAAGCGCACCCACGCATGCTGCTCGTTCAAGTTTCCACGGCCCAGTTGCAAACCTTTTATGGCCCACAGGTTGGGCGAGCCAGTTGTGTTAGACGGTTGTGTTCTTCTGCTTCAGATGGTGCGCTGCTTATTGCTGTGTGCAGAGGCAAAGTCAGCGAAGGCCTGGACTTCTCCGATGACAACGCCCGTGCGGTCCTCACCATTGGGATTCCGTTTCCAAACTGGAAGGATCTTCAGGTAGGGGACGCTTGACGTCACGCGTGGTGTATTTTATCCAAAAGAGAATGAAGCCCTGGAATAAATACATTGTCCAGCGACATCAGCGTTGTATTATTATTGCTTTTTGGAGCAAAAGAGAATGATCTAATACAGGATGTCCATCGGCGATTCAGCGATCGTTAACTTTGTGATTATTGTGAATAGTGTCATTAGTAAGAATGAGGACAGGTAGTCCTTGACATGAGACCACAACTGAGCTGAAAATTTCTGTTGGTAAGCAAGATAGTCATTAAGTGAGTTTTGACCCGTTTTGCGACCTTTCTTGCCAAAGTTGTTAAGCGAATCCCTGCACTTGTTAAGATAGTAACATGGGTTGTTAAGTAAATTATCATTACCTTATTATTATTACCTTTACTGTCAGAGTACGACATATGTACAATGAGATTGTATCTGAACTTCCCCGCTGAGTTTGCTTGTCAAAAGATCACAACAGAGGAATCCCATGATCCCGGGACACTACAATTGCCACACATGCATGCCGTTCGCCAAGCCTCTGAATTTTGCTCACGTGACCACAGGGATGCTGCAACGGTTGAAAGAGTGAAAAACTCTTTAAGTTTTAAATAAGTCTTAAATAAGTCACTTTTTTCAGTCTGTTGTAACTTCAAACAATAACTAAATGAATGGTTGTAAGGACTTATACATGATGTCTATCCAAGATTCTGGAGTGACTATTGTGAATATTCTTAGTAAGAATAAATATAGTTGAACAAATCTTAATTTTTTTCCCCCTGTGCCTTTGATTCAGAACTGAGTTTCCTAGATTATCCTAGTTGACCTTACCATCATTCCTTAGATTAGGGGTACCCAGCCTTTCTGGGTTGGCAGCCCACGGGGTGGGGGGGGAAGGCGCCTTTACGCACAGATGCTCACAAGCAAACTGGGCCATGCGCGCGAGCAGGGCTGCGATGGCATTCGCGCCATGCTCAGGTGACGCTAGCGCCTGCACAATTCTAGTGTGTGTGGGGGTGCTCTCGCAGCAATGATTGTGTCCACACAATGCTCATGGCATCACTATCACCCGCAAGACAGTGCGACAGTAGCGTGAGTGGGGAGCGGGGGGTGTATGCACATACACTGGCCAGCCACTCATGCACCAGTGGGCCAACAGCCCATGACCCAGTAGTGGGCCACGGCCTGCAGGTTGGAGACCCCTGCACTAAACCGCTCCATCCAGATGAACACAATACAGAAGCCTGATGATGGCAGATGAGATTCTGCCGAAACGTTGCTACAACTTTAAAAGCACAACTATAACGACGTGGAAAAATAACCGAACAAAGCTGAGTACCGTGTGTGTGTGTGTGTATTTGTTTTCGTAGATTTTCACGGGTACAGGTATGTAGGTCTAGGTGTGTTCAGGGCTTTTCCCATGTAAGATTAAGAGTATCTTGGCAACATTTCGGTGAGGTCCCACTCGCCATCCTCAGGCTGGTGTGATCAGAGCTGCCGTCTCTCTATAAATACTAGTGGGGGCCGGGGGCTGGTGTGCTGGGCTGGTTGGCTGTGCTGCTGCCTCTTGATTGGTTGATGGAGTTGATATTGGTATAATGGGCTGTGTGATGGCCTTGTGAGTTTTTTTGTGGAGATATCCTGGATCTTGTGCTTTAATCTCCTGGGTCGTTTGTGTTTTGATCTCTTTTCCATTTAGCCTCTTGTGTTGTAACGGCTTCTTCCCTCTTCCAGCACCTTAAAGCCACAGGACATGAAATTAATTTTGAAGGAACCAAATTAATATCTAACACTGAACACTCCAGCAAGAGAATAATCAGGGAAGCCATCGAGATAGAGAAACACCCCCATAACATGAATAGATGGGATGATACCTCCCACCTACCAGACATCTGGAAGCTAGCCCTCACCAACAAACGAGTCCCAGCCACGAAAACCAACACCAGACCCAAAACAATGTGGGACACCACCGCCAATCCCCCTCATCAGACCCAAGCCCAAGCCCATCCTATAAACAAAGGACAACCACCATCCAGAAACGAGACCACGGCTGCTTCGCCAGTTGTCGCACCCCCCGACCCCAAAACCAAACAAGCTGACACACGCCAAGAACACAGACCCAGACCCCAAACTCGAAGCCTGACCAAAACCCAGAATGTTACATCACAGCCACCCGCTCAGGATATCACATCAGAAAACTCAGGAAATTACACTTCAAGTACTGAAGAAGTTGCAACACAACAAACAACCCAGGAAATCACAGCACAAGACCAAGGATACCACAGCAATAAAACTCACAAGGTCAGCACACAACCCATTACCCAAGCCTTTACAACACAGGAGGCTAATGGAAAAGAGATCAAAATACAAACGACCCAGGAGATTAAAGCACAAGATCCAGGATATCGCCACAACAAAACTCACAAGGCCATCACACAGCCCATTATACCAACATCAACTCCATCAACCAATCAGTTTGGCTCTCTCTTTAGTGGTCTTCCATCCACCTGTTACTTCTTGTCCTGAGGTGCTTTGGAGAATGGGTTGAGCACCTATATCTTCTCTCTGTCAGCTGCTTAGATATTGGAATGCAATTATATCATCCCCAGTCCTACTTTTCACTCGATTAACCACACCCAATTCCAGCAACCGTTCTTTGTATGTCTTAACCTCCAGTCCCCCATATCATCTTTGTTGCTCTTCTCTGCACTCTTTCTAGAGTCTCAAATATTTTAAGATTGCTCAGGGATCTTAGGCAGTCAAAGCAGAGGTGGCTATTCCGCAGGTTCTGACCAGTTGTGGAGAACCGGTAGCGGAAATTTTGAGTAGTTTGGAGAACTGGCAAATCCCACCTCTGACTGGAGATTTTACAGTATCCTTCCCCTGCCATGCCCACAGAACCGGTAGTAAAAGAAATTGAATCCCACCACAGAATCAAAGGGACCTTTCAAAGAATTAACAGAGTTGGAAGGGACCGTGGAGGTCTTCTAGACCAACCCCTTGCTCAAGCAGGAAACCCTATACCACTTCAGACAAATGGTTGTCCAATTTCTTCTTTAAAACTTCCACTTTTGGAGCATTCACAACTTCTGCGGGCAGGTTGTTCCACTGGTTAATTGTTCTCACTGTCAGGAAATTTCTCCTTAGTTCTCTCCTTGATCAGTTTCCACCCATCGCTTCTTTTCCTGCCCTCAGGTACTTTGGAGAATAGCTTGACTCCCTCTTCTTTGGGGCAGCCCCTCAGATATTGGAACACTGCTATCATGTCTCCCCCTCGTCCTCCTTCCCATTAAACCAGGCCTACCCAGTTCCTGCAACCGTTCTTTGTATGTTTAGCCTCCAGTCCCCTAATCATCCATTGTTGCTCTTCTCCTCACTCTTTTTCTAGAGTCTCAACATCTTTTTTTATATCGTGGCAAAAAGCCAATCGCCTATCGCTTTTACATCCAGATTGTTTTACTCAAGAATCTGGTCTCCTAGCCTTTGCCTGGATCCCTAAAGACCTTTCTCCTAAATAGGCCCTCCGGAGACACCTTTAGGTAAAATACTTGTGCGAGGAACAAACTTCTCCTTTTACCTCAGGAAAGATTACTTTTTGGATTCCAGAGGAAGGGGAGGAAACCCCAAAATGATGTGTGTATGTGTGTGTTTGTCCCCCCTGTGTTCAGCTTGTTCTTAACGAGTAGCCCTGACCTTTAAGTTTTTACTTCACTGTCAAAGTATGTTGAAGGCTTGAAAAGCGAAGCTATCACCAGGGGGGCTTGTGAGGACGGCTGACACTTACCACTTCACCTTAGACGCTGTTCCAGATGCACATTGTTCCTCCGGGGACAACGTTTTATTTTTTCCTTCTTCTTCTTCTCCTCCTCCTCCACTTCTGGTTCAGTGAAAGTAAATTTGCTCCGCAGAGGGGGAGCTTGGCTCGCAGCTGATTTTAATCAAGTGACTTTTTTTTGCAGCCTTTCAAAGTGTCCCAGATCCTGACGATGAGTGGTTGGGAACTGATGAGAGGTTAGGATGCGCTGCGTGTTACAACTTTGGTTGTGGAGGCTTCCGTGTGCCGTGGCTTGACGACCTTGGGAAGGGCTGTCTTGCTTGTAACGTTGCTGTATATCTGTTTCCTTTGCCACTTGGATGATGAAGGGGCAGCAGGAGGAGAATGGAGTCTTTTAAGATGTGGGATGGAAGGATGGATGAGATAAATGAGATAGATGAGATAGATGAGATAGATAGAGATGATAGGTAGGGAGATGATAGAGATGATAGATAGATAGATAGATAGATAGATAGATAGATAGATAGATAGAT